GGCTTGATCTTCTTGGCACCGTCACAGCAGAGGAACTCGACAAACACACGTTCATAATCCCCTCCACATACTTTCCCAGACATGCAATTGAGTGCGCTGGCTTTGAAGCCCGTTGCAATGACAATCGCTCCAACCGCAAAGCCATGATGAAACTCGCAGGCGACATCCTTCGAGAACTCAGAAGACATTCGGCACAAATCCTGTCTGATAGAAGCGATCTTCCCATCTACTTCATCTCTGATATTCTGACATTCGGCAGCCAGGCGATTCCGCACTGATTCACCAAGGCGTGTGACAGAATAATCTAGGGGCGACTTCAACTCTTCACAAACCTGCTCCAGCTTCGGAGCAATGGCGGCCGCTGCTGTCCACCACTGGGTTTTTCAAGCTTTGCAGGCAGCCGACAATCCAGGAAGTCATTGACGCACTTCCCCAAAGACCGTGCCAACCCTCGGATTCGGGCGTCCATTTCGGCGGAATGGTCGTGAATGAGAGCTTCCAGTCTTCCGATATTGGCCGTCGCCTCCTGTATGAGCTGAGAATCTCCTAGCCTGTCATCCACGCTGGTTTGTCGAGGGATTTGCCACTGTAAGCGCTCCAGCTGCCCCAGTAATAACGCAATCGTCGAGTTCTGGTCCTCGATGGGCCTCTGCGCACCCGTATCCGGCAAGCACAAAGCAGCAGCACGGCCACGCGGACTACCTTGGAAACGAGGGGCAGTGATACCCAATGCAGAAAACTGAACCAGATGAGCGACATCAAATTTGGAGTGTACCGAATTACCATGTGAATTGGCAGCACAAGCATCATTAGGAAACGAACGAATTGTATGCGATGCAAATTCCTCCTTCGCCAACTCATCAAATATGCTAATGACCACGGGAACCGACGGAACAAAATATTGAGCTTCTGACTTGAGCTTCGAGCGCTCGCGGCGCCTGCCGCAGAATGTAAGAAAGAATCGGGTGAACTGTGAATGCTTAGCGTAGCCAGCTGCCCTGTTCACCTGCACAGACAGCCCGAATAGAGGACGTGGGAGCCAACGTCTTGCCGCCAAGACCGCAGCTCCAGTAGATGGGTATTCCTGGACAGTCAGGCCAGAGATGCAGCAATGAATCGTAAGTTGGGCAGCCACGATCGCAACTCTTATAGGCAATGACAGAAAACCTGCACACAAGCCTAGAAATATGGAAAGCCCCAGATCAGCAGACATCAATGGCGACAACATGGAAGCGCACGAGTCCACAGGAACTGGAAACACCTCAGTTTACCCACAGACGCTGGCGCTGCCTGTAGCGCGTAGAGCAGGGCCACAATTCGTCTAGGTGATGTTGTATGTGTCAAGCCTCTTGCGTTGATGGGTCCTCGTCTTCTATCTGCAGCGCCTCGCTCCACATTCGTCTCCCGCCTCCCCCGCCCTCCTCCTCCCCTCCTCATCCTCATCTCCCTGCCTCTGGTTTCTTCACGCCGATTTTAATGCACCCTCACGCGCCTCGTGCCCCCACAGGGAGCTCCACCTGTGGCCTCACTTGGTGCGAGTGTATACCGCCCTCCACCCATTTCGGCACACCCCTCGCACGGACGTAGCACGAAACTCCACCTACGGCCTCACCTGGTGCGGCCGCAGCCATTGGGGCGCTGTCCGCGTGCTCCGCCTGCCCATTTCGGCAAGCCTCTCAAACGCTTCATGCCCCACAACGGATTCCGTGCGCCCCCGCGCGCTTGCTCCGCGGGCCAGTGCTGCTTGCAAGACACATTGTTGAGCTTAAGTGTGCTCAGCTGTACCGTTATGAACTGTTCTGCAGTTGGGATGGATCTCTCTAGCTTTCAGCCGCCTCAAGTGGTGTGCGCTCAGAGCAAGAATGCAGCAAACCCACAGGAAAGCACGGCATTGACAGTGTAGCTCCGAACGCGTGCCAAATGCTCTAGCGAGCAAGAATACAGCAAAGCCCCAGGACAGCGAGGCACTGACAGTGTAGCCCAGCATCAACGAAGTGTTCTGTGTACGCTGCCCCGTCGCCAAGCCAAATTGGTCGACGCCACCCGCTGCCGCGGGCATCCCCGGGCGCCTCAATCCGATCGAGGCCATCTGCGATAACGACAAAATCACCACCAGCAGGCCGCCCTCGTCAAGGACAAGTACCGTGTCGACAAGCGGCAGCATCGCAGAGAGATTCGTCAGCCGCGCTCCCTGGACGAGAAGGAGGCGGACGAGGGAAGCCAAAGGCAGGAACGCCAGGAAAGCGACACCAGCAACAGGATGAGCGAGAGCGAAGCCGCGACGCTGCGCGTTCCCCGCGAGGGGCTCTGGATTGAGCCGCCGATCCATCTCGAATCGCTTCTGGGAGTCCAAAAAGCAACGGGACTCAGCCGAACGGAACGGACATCGCTCTAGGGCTGAACGCGGCGCACACGTCTTTCGCAGCATAGCGCGAGTGCCTTCCATCCGGCGTCCCAGGTACGCGGGAGCCCACTATAGCCCAATGCAATCAGCCCAGTATCAGAACTTGAGGTTTTAAAATACATGCCGCTCCGTGGAGGGTCAAAAGCCCATACCAGGGGGTGCGACAAGATCGCGTCGAGGATGTGCGGCACGTCTTCTTCGAGGGTCGTGGTCTCGATGACCTCCGAGTCCTTCCGATGCAGGACAGTGAAACACATGGTCTCGATAACCACGTCGGGCCCCCCCAGCCAGTGGGCGGGCCAAGGCGGCCACGTGCTGGGCGGCACGGGCACGCAGGCGAGCCGATGTCGGCCAATTCTGGGGCCTAGCGATTCAGGGTAGCAAGTCCGATGCAGCTGCTGATTGCTATGACGCCACGAGAGGCTGGGTTGGCAGGCCTGTGATCTCTAAATATGCCGCCGCACTTGTGACCGTTCTGCACGTCCTGCAGCGCGGAGCCTGGGAATCAGCTGATCTGCATCTCGAAGACATCTCTGTGTGGCGCGCGTGAACAATCCCGTCCGAAACGGCAGTGCTGGCTGCAGGCGCGGCACCCAGTGATCTTCGCCAACTGCTCGCGAGAAAAATCTGCGTGCCGTCCACTCTCTGGTCTCTGGACGTCCGCGCCTGGTCAGGTGGCGTTTCCGTCCAGCCGTGGGACGTGGTCTCGTCGTCCCTCAGGTGCCCCGAGACTGCCCCTAGTCGCGCTCCGCATCCTCCTTGACCGCCCGCTTGAGATCACTTCCCTCCTTCTGCGTCCGACCTCGTCCCTGCTTCTCGACTCCTGCAGGGCACTCCTCGTCCGACGCCCTGGCGAGTGTCGGAATCTCCGCTCTCGGCGAGTACGCCCGCGCATAGCAGCTCGGACAGGTCTCCAGGTCGCAACAGTCGCCGCAATAGTCGTCGGCACAATCGTAGATCGTCGTCTCAGTCGTGCCAGCCACCATGTGGATCTAGGCCCGATGAGAAAATGAGAAGGATTATGCCCAATGATGGTGCCTCTCTCGGCCACCTGACGCCAATATGTAAGTGCCGGCGCCGTGTGCAACTTCAGCTTGTCTGCTGTCTGGCAGCACACACTCAGACGCCGAGCAGTCCAGCTGCCAGGGTGCCCAACACACGCTCTTCACGTCCAAGTCTCCTGCCCTCCGCGTTCGAAAGTTCGGCATGCTATGGGTCGACAGCTTGGCGCCTTCTCCATAACGGAGCCCATATCTTTTCCGAGATCCACAAGTCCCTAATCTCCGCCTTGCGGAAGTGTATACCCCTGCGGCCCACGACCTGCAAGGATGACTCCTTGGACATGGGTCGTGCGGTCTCAGCGCGCCATCGCAATTTCATCGCTTGTGGTGTGTCCATCCGGGCCAGGCTGGCGGGTCAGAGCAGTGGCCGTTCTCGTGTGGGCGCGCTATCCAGCAACCTCTGAAACTCCAGCCGCCGCGCGACCATAACTACCTGTGCCACAATGTTTTCTATGGTTGAGCCCGAAAGAGCGGCAGCCGCGAACTTACCCTCGTCTGCGCCCTCAGCGTACCAGTGCCTGCTACTCTGGCCAAAGACCAGGTCCCATGTTAATGCCGCCAAAATTCAGCAGCCTTCGGCGACGGCTGCCGTGCTAGCAGCGGCCAGTCACTCTTGTTCGCGCAGCGTCTGGGCTAAAAAGTCTCTTTGGTGCCCTGGTCCGCCGCTTTGACCAAGAGACCGTGATGAGGATAATTACCTCCATCATCTGGCTGTTGCCGATCGTGTCCTTCGTGGCCTGCCGCTCGCATCGTCGCCACGGAATCATGGACCACGGATCGCACAAGCTCCCTCAGGTGGATCGTGTGGAGGTTCTACTGTCGCCTTCCCCGCTCCGACGACTGTCTGAGCAGCGGCATCCCAATGGAGCGCTGACTCCTGCGGCTCCACGACTCCTGCGGCCCAGAGCAAGCAACCTTCCGCAACCAACTGTGCCAGCATCAGGCGCAGCAATCGCGAGACCTTTGAAATTTAGAAAAACATCGGCAACAAAATAACCGTTTTATTCTTACGCGTGCTGGTGATGCACAAATGCCTGCTCAATGCTCTCTCTGCGACCGGTGACCCCCTCCCTGCCGAGCCAACTGGCAGGAGGCAGGTGCATGCTGAACCTGCGAGCACCTGTGGCCGACAGAGACCCAACAGAAAAGCATATGCATGCAGCGGGAGGGAAGCGGGAGGGGGGAAGGCAGGGAGGAGGAGACGAAGGCACGGAGAGGAGGGAGCAGGGAGGAGAGCAGATGGGGGGGAGATGAGGAGACAGAGATAATGAGAGAGGTGCGTCGTGGGCGGCGGCGTCGTTCTCCCCTTCCCAGTGCGAGGATAAGGAGAGGGTCGGAGGAGAAGGAGTGAGGGAGTATGGAAAGGAACAAGAGGAAAAGGAGAGGGAGAGAGCGAGCGAGAGAGAGAGAGAGAGAAACATAGACAGAGCGAGCGAGAGAGAGAGAGAGAGACATAGATATACAGACATACAGACAGATGAACGGACAGACAGAGACAGAGAGCGGGCGAAGATAAAGAAGCAGAGCGAGCGGTCCCCCATGCCGCCGCCGTAGTCTCCCATGCCGCCGCCACCGTACGCTCCCTTCGACGGCGGCGGTGGAGGCTGTCCGCCGCCGTACGACCCGTAGCCGTGGCCCTTGCCACCTGCCAGCGGTCTGATTTTCCGCACCCCCACCCAGCGGTCCCTCCACCCCACTGGAGAAGCCAACCATCTTCCGGATTCCCGTGGCTCTTTCCAGATGGTCTCTACACCTCTTCCAACACGTTTCTGTTCATTCCACCCCTCTTCCACTTTCGCAATCTGGGCCGACCGCGCAGCAATACCATCACCAGATGGGGAAGACATGGGGGCACGGGTTGAGGGAAGTACATGTCGGAGGAGGGGGAGGAGGAGGAGGAGGAGAGCAGGAGGACAACTAATAGGATGCCAAGGAGGAGAATAATCGCACGCGCGGGTGACCTGCGACGACCTCAAGCCACCGAAGGGGTCGCAGGCCGCCTTCGGATGGGGCGGACCCAGGTTTTGACGTCGTGTTCTTGTGACGTTTGCGCGAGGGGGGAACACACAATTATTTTACGCTCCCGGAACAGGTCCCTGCCGTGGTCGGCGACATCGTGCCTGCTTCTCCTCAAAACATTCAGGTTCAGAACGAGCACGGCCGACTTGCATCGGACGGCGCGATAATGCACACGGTTAACGTAGAAGCGTCGGCTGAGGGCTCGGCAGCTGGCTGGCAGCCAGCGCGCCACCACATCCAGCTTCAAGAACAAGAGGCCGACGCATCCCCGATGGTCTGGTCGTTCCGGCGTATGTGCCTTGGGTGGCTGGGGCTCCCACGGGGCTCCCACCGGGCGCCATCTTGTAATATATGCCGACCTTTTCGGGGCGTCGAGGCGGACATCCACGTGACTCAACAAAGCTTCAGGAGCCCCAGGAGCGTCCCATAAGACCCCTAAGATGGCCGCAAAAAGGACTTCAAGGGACACTCTTTCAGGCTCCAAGGGGGTTGCGCTAACTGAGCGCTGACCATTTGTTGTCGATGGCCCCCAGGAGGGCCCCAAAGGCCTCTAAAGGTCCCCAAAAGGACTTCACGAGAGCCCCAGTCTGGTGCCGAAGGGTCCGAAAAGTCCAAGGTGGCTCCAATATGCCCCCATGAGGCTCCCAGAGGTCCCCGAGTTGGCAATTGTTGGGGGCTGCTCGGGCGGACCCCAGCTTTGGTGTACCTGGTACCCCCCCACTTTGTTCCACGAGTGTTCCCCCCTGCCCTGCTCACAACGACTCGCCTGGGAATCATCACACGCGAAGTGTCAATAGTTCCAGCTTCAGCCGCAGAGCGTCGTGGGCCGCGGCGTCAATCTCCCTATCCCAGTGCGAGGCTGCGGAGAGGGTTGGATGAGAAGGAATAGGGGAGCACGATAAGGAGAAAGGGCACAAAGAGGCCATACTCTTTTTCTTCTTCATTGCTCCATCTCTCGTCGCTTTGCACGAACTGCGGCCGTCTCGTCGCTCCGTGCGGCTACTGGGCAAACAGATGTTTGCCAGCGCGGACACCGAACAATGGTTTAGTGCCTTCTCGGTGTGCAACCTTTGTGGTGCAATATGTTTCGTGCAACCTGTGTGTTGAAAGTAATTGTTGCAGAATTGGAGACTTCAACCCCAATGCCCGAGTGAACATCCCACACACACACACCGGCAACTCGTTGGCAGTACGTACTGACTCAATGACGCGAGGACCCTTCTCATGCAGATCCATGGCTCGGGCAGACGAGCTATGAGAGTGATGGCGACACTGGCGACGACGACGATGATGGTGGTGGCGATGAAGACGATGGCGACGACAACAACGATGACGATGACGACGGTGGTAATGATGACGATGACGATGACGATGACGATGATGGCGATGCCAATGATGACGCTGGCGATGATGATCATGACGATCGTGCTGATAAAGATTACGAGGAAGTGCGCAAGGGATGATGCGGGGAGTGGATACCGGCGTGGCTGGGATTACATCTGATGTAGGACGAACGAACGCACGAACCCACTAATGAACACACAATGCGAAACACTGATCATGTACGTCAGAATTCGGCCTTAGGGAGCTCATGATGACCTCCAAGGTGGCATAAGTTATTCCAAGCCTCTACGATGCCCCCTAGATGCCCAATATCCTTCCAAGACGGCTCCAAGTGGCCACGAAGCATCCCAAGGATGCCCCCGAGAAGTCACAAGTAGTTCAAACCTAAAAAGATGATGTTTGCACTCTGGCTTTTCCGCTCCTGACGGGCTTCTGAGGCCTCAGGACGACCCAAAATAGTCCCAGGAGGGGCCCAAGAGGGGCCCAAGACGGCCCCAGGACGCCCAAGACCGTCCCAAGGGACGACTTTTAGGGTTCAAGAGGGGCAGTTCTCACTAAGACGTCCCCCTCTTTGATAGATGTCCAGATGGCCCCTAAGAGGGCCCCCCAGAGTCCCAAAGAGGACCCCAAGAGAGCCCCCAGAGGGCCCCAACAGGGACCCAACGACCTCATACATGGCACCAGCAAGGCCCAAATGTCTTCAAAGGTTTTCATGCTTGACTCCTGGGCCTGCTCAGGCAAATCCCGATCTTCGGTTTGACGACTGCCCGGCCCCTTTTTGTTCCGCGGTGTACTCCCACACTGCTCTGATCAAGGCAACTTGCCTGGGCATCGCGTCTGGATGAGCTGGTGGGGATGCTCGACGCGTCAAGAATCACGTTCGATCAAAACCATGCTGTACGCGTGTGCTTGAACAGATGTATGGTGAAATGATTAAACGACTGATGTTTGAAATGCTTTGACTAGCGCGCGCGTGGCGCGCGGGCGTGGCCCGCGTAATGTTGTTTGACGGGGTTGACGGGGGAGAACCTATAACGTGAGTTCCGAACGTTCCCGTGTCCCGTTTTGAATAGAGCGCTGCTCGTGCTTCTTCCCCACCCCCTTCTCCCCCTCCTCCTCCTTCCCCTCCTCCTTCATCGCCTCTTCCTCCGCCTGCCTCCTCCTACATCGCATGCGCTCCGTCGAGGACTGCGAGCCGCGCAAATGTCGCACCTTTCGTGCGCTCCTGGGAGGTTCAGCGGAGTGGGCCGTCGGGGACTCCTCTTGGACCATTCTGAGGCCAACTTAGGCCATCTTGGAACGCTCTGGGGCGGTCTTGGGCTCTCTTGGAGCGCTCTTCGGCCGTCTCGGAACCGCCTTAGGGTTCTCTTGGTCTTTTTGAAGCCCCTTGGGCCGTCTTGGGGGTCTTCTTGGGGGGGGGGGGCGTGTTACCCAGACTTGGTCCCGCTTCGCCTCTCCCCTGGAACCTCTCCCTGGAGGGCTTCGCCCCGAAAGAACGCCATCACTCGTACCTCCCTCTTCCATGATGCCAGGTACTGCGCTGTAGGGTTTAAAGTACCAGGCGCATCCCCCCATGTCTCGAGCCACGATCCAACGCAAAAGACAATGGATCCGCGCTCCCAAAGCACTCCCTCGCGAAAAAACAAGTGGATTCGCGTCCCAAGCTTCCAGGATGGCCAACGCAGGTAAACAATGACACCAACATGGCCCAAGCTGTCTCCAAGACAAGCCAATCTGGCACCAAAGCGGCCGGTTACGGCCTCAGCACGGTTCAATATGCCTCAACGGGGGCCACTAGCGGACCTCCAACGAAGCGGAAGAAGCCAAAATCATTGATTCCCCATTGGTGTGTGAATGATTTTCGCATTTTCGCCTTGTCGCGCTTCCGTCAGCCCAGGACGGCCCACGAAACCTCAACGATGGCCCAAAGACTGCCCAACAGGCCCCCACGAGGGTCCAATGATAGCCAAAGAAGACCCCACGATGGCCCAAGAGGCCTCTGAGGCGGCCCCAAGACGGCCTCCTGCGGAACACGAGGCGGCCGCAGAAAACCCTTTGACTATCCAAAATGGTGCACAACACGGAGCCAAGACGGCCCGACGACGGCCCAAGAGAGCTCCAAGACGGCCTGAGAGTGCCCAAGGGGACCCCCAACACAGCCTCACAGGAGGCCAAGACAGCCCCAAGACGGCCCAAACGAGTTCCATGCGAGGTCCTCAAATAGTGAAGACGAAAAGTATCACATGTGACGGCCATTTATTTTCCGCCCCACTCGTCCTCGCCATCGTCATCATCATCATCATCATCATCATCATCATCATCATCATCATCATCATCATCATCATCATCAACATCAGCATCATCATCACCATCATCACCATCCTCATCATCATCAGAATTATCATCGTCGTCGTCATCATTCATATCAGTATCATTCTCATCATCCTCATCATCCTCGTCGTCATCATCATCACCATCATCATCACAGCTCTCACAAACCTGGAAACACGAAGTGACTGCCTCCCGCGCCCCCTCGAACACTCACCACCAAGAGTGATTGGCTGGAACGGTGGCGGGACTTGCCGCAGGCAGCGGGCTTGATCCGAAGATCGTCGCCTTGCTCGCCGATGCCTCGCCCGTCGCTTCCAGGGGGTGCAGTCTATGCGTTCGCTTGGGCGGGGGGGGCGGGGTCGGGCGAAGAATGGTTCAACCTCTGGGCTCTGTAAACTGTTCCTGGGCGAAGGCCACGTCAATGTTGACACTGCCTCGTTTTGTACATCCTTTAACTTTTTTAGGGCTGACGTATTGTGCGTTCTCAGACTCTCAGACTGTGCGTTCTGGCCATGTGAACTATTTCGCACACCTGTCCCAAGGGCCCCCCGGGCGACTCCTCGCCGGGTCGGGGCGGGGGCGACGACCTGGGAAAAAGGACCGCGGGAACCCTGCGATCGTCGACCCCGTGGTGCGGGGAAGCCCGCGACGACTCCCATATTCCTCGGGCTGCCCACGGGCGCCAAAATTGCTGGGCCTGAAGCGTCAGGGGAATGACCGTGGCGACTCGCGTGCTGACCCTTGACGACGAGGGCGAACTTGGCCCTGCAGAAGACGCGCTTGACCTCGCAGTTGCCGAACTTGAAGACGGGCCGATCGTTGAGGTCGATCTCCGTGGGTGGACGCCCGCGCGCCACAAGGACGTCGTTCATCGCCTCCGCGGACTGGGTGCCGCCGACGATCTTCGTGGCCCCGCAGTCCATGATGCCGTGAGCGATGTAGGCCGTGCTG